ATTTTTCCACCACTTGGGCAACTTAAAGTTGTTGGGACTACAACCCCAAAAATCCCCAAGCCAGCAAAGCTAATTGGGAAATTCTGGGAGTTGAAGTCCACACATCTTCAAGTTGCCAAGGTTGAGAAACACTGGCTTAGAGTGTTCTTCTCAGGAGGGACTGTTGGCTTTGCTGTCAATCCCCCCCCCAAAAGGGGGGGGAAGGTTACCAAATGCCAATTTCAAACTAAATCAAACCTATATTCTGATCGTAAAATTGCTGAGCACAGTGTTTGAGCACAAGAACTAGGCCAGTAACAGAAACGGCAGTAAATCCATGGATGTAGTAGATGTTGTGGAAACATCTAATTACTGTAACGTACACAAATGTTGAAACAGTTAATGAAAAATATGAAAGAAACAGAAAATCAATGTGCACTGCATCTTGTAACTCCAATTCCATGCCCAGAACTGAAACATGGTTTTTGATTTGTGAGTTTCAGTGGCTCCTACTCAATTAATTCAGAGGGCAAATAGCTAACATGAATCTGACAGAGTCTTAATGAAGTATTATTTGTGCTATAATGACAAATGGAGAAAGTTACAAAGAGCCATCTCACAGAATTATGGAGAACTTTAGTTTATGAAACTGCCTTGCTTTTCACTAACCATCAATAAGGTTATCGAAGAGTTAAAATGTGGTTACTTTGATGGAGAAAGATGAATGGAACTGGAATCAAGAGATGAGAGCATCCAAACTCTAATTCTGATGCTGGGGGTGGGTTTTAAGCTTTTGAGTAGGCTATTATCCTTTTAAAACTACAAAGAGTCTCAGGGCAACTTAGTTGTGAGGACTCTCATTTATGAAGTAGTGTTAACACTAAAGTCTACTGACTTTGCTATCCCTAATTGTGTGGAGTGGTAGAAACATTTCAGTTGTGATGAAAAGGCAGTTTCTGTGCATAAATTTATGATACAGAAGCATATAACCCCTGAAGTCCCCAAAGTTGTTTTTTTTTCACATCAGGGTGGTGTTTTATATGTTGCCAGATACCAGTTCTGCTTACTTAGAAGCCCATCACATATATTTTTCAAATATGGACATTCCGCTGTTCCCCAAATATATTGTTTTAAAATAAAGGAATGCACAGAATAATTTGCAATAAAACTACAACGTAGGTATCATCATGTGAAAGCAGTATGATAAAAATTGCCATACCTTGAAAACCACAGCAGAAAGTGAATAATGATCAGAGCCGAAGAAGGTATTAAAGAAACAGGCGAGAATGTAAGAATTTGAAAAGATCTTTGCCGTGTGGCTGAACATGAATAATAATGTAACGAGGAATATCTCTCTGGGGTAATGTTACAAAGATTTATTTAAAAACATACATATTTACAATTGATAAAACTCTAATATCGTATTCATCTATGAATAAACCAATAAAAATATATTGGTAGAAAATGAATATATTGAACAACATAAACTGATATGTTGGCCAGTTTATTTAATCAAACCGGACAACATACCATTTTATGTTGTTCAATATATTCATTTTCTACCAGTTATGAATACATCCAATTCCCCTTTCAGATATGAGGGGCCACCTTCTCCATAGGCAGTATTAATCGATTTATCATTTCAAATTTCAATCACTTAAACAAACAAACAAACAAACAAACAAACAAAAAGATAGAAAGTTAAACCTACCCGTGCCAAAGTCAGGGTCCCATGTTTGCATGTTTTGCAACGAACCCGGAGTTTTCCAGGTTTAACGGCTTGGCAGGAGCTTTTGCAGAAAATATAAAAACTGCTGTACTTAGCATCTGTTGGGAAGAACAGAAAAGCAAACCCTTTATTAAGACACTAACATTTCATTGTGCACATGTCAGTGTGTGTGTGTAATATAAACTCAGAAACAAATGAAAATCCGCATCCGTGATATTTCCTCTATTCTGTACAGCAACAAATCAAAATCAATACATTGGATTTTATATGGAAAAGGATGAACTGTTAGGTAATTATTTCTGTTCCCTAATGCAGCTATTCTATATCCATTTCCTTTATTCTTCCTGCCTTCCCCACTCCTTCCAGTTCATGACAGTAGCTAAACCATCTCCATCTGGCAAATGTGGATATTATTATTAGACATATTTATTAAATTGCTTCTCTGTCCATTGGGTGATTGCAGCAATATACCGGAATCAGATAAAAGCAGCACTAAAATAAAATACAGTACAATACAATGTAATAAAACAAACACAGTAACAAGAATAAGGTAACAAGAGAAGCCAGAATATTCATCACAATAACATCTGAAAACATCATTTAAGAACATTAAAAAGGTAACGGAACAATATAACCCACACCAGCTGCCTAACGTATAATAAAGAGGGAGCTAACCTGATTTCTCTCCCTATTATCTTATTATACACTTGCAATAATGAACCCAGAGCTGGGGGGTGGGGGAGGCCGGGAATAGCAGCAGCAGACTCAGAATGCCTGTGAAAGGTAAGCCATGAACACTGTTGCTATGAAGAGTTCTTTCATTATCTTAGGCACACGGGAACTGCCACAGCAGTGGGAGAACATTTAAATGATAAAAGCAAACAGTTGCGCGTCTTTATCGTAAAACTAAGGTGTGTCTCTTTGCCCCTTTCCAGTTGAGTGCCTGTTCTGTGGCTGTGACTCACACTTATATTTATGTCTCTATTTCCCATAACAAAAATCTCCACACCATCTTATCCCAAGTGGCTCACAAAAATGTGGGATTAGATTATTCAAACATCAATCCATCTATAGAGGAACTGTTGATAGGAAAAAAAAAAATGATCCCACATCCTACTCCCCTGGATAAAATGTGTGAAGGAACACTAAGCATCTTTTGCTGGCATCTTTGTGAAGAGCTGAAGGCAGATCTGCCCTGATATTTTAAATATATCAAGATTAACGTAAGAGGAGAATATGCAAAGACAGAAATGAACCATTTCTGTTGCTTTCAGGGTCTTTGTGTGCTGCACTTTAGAGGTGAACAGGACAGAACCAAAGTGGGCCTGATGGGGTTGAGATTTTTAGTTGGTGAAATGGATGCTTTAAGCTTCCACATCACTTAAGACACTCATTTGCCCCTTGAAAAAATCCCAATTACTGAGGGGGGTGGGGGTGGGTGAACAAAAGTATTCCCAGAATCCTCAGCCAGCATAGCTGTTTAAATTTTGGGGAGTTGTATTCCACCACATCCAGAACGTGCCACCTCGGAGAAGACAGCTTGAGAAATAAGCGATTTCATATGAGAAAGAGATGATCCTTGAAATATTCAGGACAACAAAGAGAATAATATTTGTTATAGCTGTCTTGTATTTTTCTTCATGATTCAGTTTTCAGCATGGTTTTGTTCCTCCTATTGATGGTGGTAAATGAGCTGCCTAAAGCTGTTGAGGTAGTCTGTTCTCTTGATCACAAATTAATTAGCACTTATTGGTCACAGAAAAACCACTCCTAAGCTAAAGTAAAGCTTTAAATGAAAGCAAAGCCCAGCTCATAAAAAGAATATATTGGCTAAAACAACTTCTTCCAGTGATAGAGGCCTACAACACCATGAATAGTTTGTTGATAAGCACTGATTTAGTATTTGTTTATTTATCAAATTTATATGGCTACCCATCTCATAAGAAGTGATTCTGGGTGGCATACAGCAAAAAATATAAAACAATAAACATGTCAAACACAGCGCTGCAAAAAACAAAAAAGTAATCCATCTTTACCAATCAGATGTACAGTTTAAGGCCCAGACACAATAACAGGTTGCTGGGGAAAAGAAGTAAGGCAAGATGCACCAAGGATATCGGTATCACAAAACACATCAAAGGTGAGGCTAGGGAAATCCAAGAAAAAAACTCACTAGGTTATGGTCTTTTCGTTTGTAGGATCCTGAATTTTTTAACTTAGGATGTTACAATGTGCCATTACATCAATTATCTTATTTTTAATCCATACAGAGTTTTGTTATAAATGCATCATAAATAAAAATATTATTATTACTATACTAGAAAATTTTAACTTCATATGTCAAGGAGTGTTGATTGACTAAACAGAAAAATAGAAGCGTGTTTTAGGAAGTTCCATTATGGAGACAAATGGATAACATTAAAAAGGGATAAAATTCCTTATAATATCCCACCTCCCTTGGTAAAATGCCCATACAGGACAGCTTCTGATCATGAAAATAAAAGAAGCAAGACAATGTCTTAAAATATAAATAATACATCAACAAGTCTGTTTGTACTAAAGTGAAAAAACTCCAGCCTGCTTTAGGAGAGAAAAAGAGAAAGATGCCAGTCAAATCTCCCTGGGAAAAAATGTTCAGCAATACAAGATGGCTTTTTCTGCCAGAAGTCATACATGAGAAAGTACAAAATGAACAATGATTGGAGTAGCTCCAGTTCAGAACTTTAAGAGTGAGACAGAGAACCCACAGTTTGTTGACTGTGTGTATTCTACAGCCAAATTTCATTCAGCCTAGACCATTTAGCACATGTTTTTGCCCCCATATTAGGAAAATATTAGGTTAATGAAAGTGCCCGTGTCCTTAATTGACCCATGCACTTTTCAAAAGTAGCAAACAATAGGGTGGAGTTCCCCTTCCCTTTTCAGTCTTACACTCAGGGGGAAAAAAATTTCACACGAGGAGGAGAGCTGGCTACCCTTCCTTGAAGGTGCTTTCTCCATCTTTCTCCTTGGCCAGAGGGAGCTTCAATTCTCCATCAGCCCACTGTAGCTCTGAACTGGATCCTACAGCTGAATTTCAAAGATACATTAGGTTTGCTCTGCGTACTTTCTGGTTCTGTTTCCACCTACCAACTACTGCCATCCTTTCTAATGAGCAGGCTCAAATTATCCTACTTCAGACACATTATGTGAAGACTTAGCTCTCTAGAGAAGGTTCTAATGCTGGGAAAGTTGGAAGGAAAGAGAAGAGGATGACCAGCAGCAAGGTGGAAGACTCAATTACAGCGGCAATCAGTGTATCATTGGAAGACCTGAACAACCAGGTTAGGGACAGATTATCATGGAGAATCAATGCTCCATCTATGTAGCTGCTGGAGTTGAAAATAATTTAATTTATGAAGGAAAGGAAAAAAGAAAAAAGGAAGGAAAAAGGGGGGAAAATGCTCTATGCACCAATTAAGAGCTTCAGCCTGCAGTTGTCATAAAATCAGAACCTCTTTCATTCTAGCAGCTCTTCTTCTGAACCCTGCAGTAGCATTTTGTACCCCTGTAATTTCTGAATTGACTTCAAAAGCAGCCCTGTAAGAGTATTAAAACAACCCATAGTAGAGGAACTAAAGTATGAATGAACATATCTAGTCAATCAGATACAACCCCAGAGAGAATGGAAAGTGAAGCTTTAAAAATAGGTAGAAGGGATTTTGCAGGAAGTTTTGGTTAACTTGCATAAGTCATCCTGGCCAATGACTGGGCACATGGGGTCCTTCAGTTTCATGTCACATGGTTTGGCTTCTCAATGGTTTAAAGCAGTGTTTCACAACCTCAGCAACTTTAGATGCCTGGCTGGGGAATTCTGGGAGTTGAAGTCCACAGTTCTTAAAACTGCTGAGACTGAGAAACACTGCTTTAAAGACCTCTCTTGTTCAAAGCCAATCTAAAATACTAAAAGTTGGCCCTATTTAATTTAGCCCAAGAAAAATATGCAGGAATCACATTTGTGTACATTAAAAGCTGTCAAGCTAACAAATGTTAATTTACTGCTTCCTTAATGAAAAGGCAATCTTTCAACATTAGGTGCAGAATGAAAGAGAAAAGTTGACAAGTTACAGATTTTTCAATTTATTGGACTAATTTAAAACATGATGTCATTAAATATTTGAATGGTAAACTTCAGTAAGCCAGTTCAGAGTTACTGTAATTAATTTACCTGCAGCTCAAATGTAAACTACATTTACGATTGCCAGAGTTTGAGAAAGCAGCTATTTGTTTTACTTGAGAGCCATGAAAACTGCCTCTGTCTTAATCATTTCTGTGATTCTTTCAAAGGTATTTGGAGAAACTGGAAACCAATTGCCAAATAGACCTTTTAAATTTTTAATGTGAAAAGGGAAAAAAGTTCCATGTCACTAGTAATTGCAGCACGTTGGTGTCCTTAGCTTGACTTTGGCTGGTTCTGGGATGGGAGACCATCAGAAAAGCTTCCAGTTACAGGCTGGGAAGTTGAAAAAAAACATCCTGTGAGAAGGAAAAGGCAAACCATTTCCATATTGTTGCCAGGAATAGAGCTCAACTTGAAGGAAACTTTATCTTTTTAAAAACGTTCTTGAGTTACACATATCCCTTTTGCATTTGAGAACCATAATCTAGTGGTGAAGATGCCCAAATCATACAGAAGGTATCCAGAGTTGTGCAACTACTCTGCCAAGGCCACAGGTAGCCTACCAAAACTTTGGGTGCAGACAAATGGTTAATTATTAAAGTGACAGAAATGAAATTATTTAAATACATAATATCATTTATGACTTTAATTCTTGACATGGTTCTACTCCTCCTGGTTTTGTTCCCATTTGGGGTGGGGTGGGGAGTGCAGTCCCCACTGGTCAACTAAAGAAAAAATCCATTTTCTTAAGTAAGACTGCAGTTCTAACACAGAAAGACTTACTTCTGATTAAACACAATTAAGTAGTAGATGTGATGAGGTACATATAACTTGATGCATTTATTTTTTGCGACAGCCGCTCTCCTGTTGTAATGCCAACACCGAATAGATATTGATAGTAACTGCAAAATTATGGCAAGAAAGCAGTATGAAAGCAAA